GATGGATGGATGGATGGATGGATTTGATGCAATTGATCACAATATTTTATTGCGTAGACTTGAACTTGATATTGGGATTAAAGGAACAACTCTAAAATGGTTTGAGTCTTATTTAACTGATAGATTTCAGTTTGTTAATGTTAATAATGAATCTTCTTCTTACACCAGAATTAGTCATGGAGTTCCTCAGGGTTCAGTGCTTGGACCAATCCTCTTTACTCTATATATGTTTCCATTAGGTAAAGTTATTAAACAGCATGGGATAAAATTCCATTGTTATGCTGATGATACTCAGTTATATTTATCTACGAAACCTGATGAATCCAACCAGTTACTTAAACTACAAGCATGTCTTACAGACATAAAAACATGGATGACTCTTAACTTTCTGCTTCTAAACTCAGATAAGACAGAGGTTAGGGTTCTTGGACCTGAACATCTTAGGGATCAACTTTGTAGCCTTTCASCTCCTCTGGATGGCATTAATCTGGCCTCCAGTTCTAATGTAAAATGTCTTTTAACCCCCACATTAAAAATGTTACCAGGACCACCTTCTTCCACCTGTGTAATATCACTAAAATTAGAAACATTCTGTCCAAAAATGATGCAGAAAAACTGATTCATGCATTTATCACGTCTAGTCTGGATTACTGTAATTCTTTATTATCTGGACATCCAAAAACCTCTTTAAGAAGTCTTCAGTTAATCCAAAATGCTGCTGCTAGAGTTTTAATGAGAGTTGGAAGGAGAGATCATATTTCTCCAGTTTTAGCTTCTCTCCACTGGATCCCTGTCAAATTCAGAATAGAATTTAAAATATTACTCCTAACATAAAAAGCTCTTAACAACCAAGCTAAACATCTTATTGTTCCACACTTTCCTAACAGAGCTCTTCACTCTCAGACTGCAGGTTTTTTTGTGGTTCCTGGAGTTTCTAAAAGTAGAATGGGAGGSAGAGCTTTCAGTTATCAAGCTCCTCTCTTGTGGAACCAACTTCCAGTTTCTGTCCGTGAGGCTGACACTCTGTCTACTTTTAAGATTAGACTGAAGACTTTCCTTTTTCATAAATCCTTTAGTTAGACTTAGGTTTCCTGAATTATTCTTCATTTCTGCTGCTATAGACTTAGACTGCTGGAGCACAAACTGAGCACATTTCCTCATTCTGCTGTTGTCTTTAGTCTCTCTTCTCTACATGTTTATTGTTTTTATTTCTATCATGTTTTTTCTTTGTCTCTTCCAGAAGAAGGTGCACCTGGACCAGTCCTGGACCAGTTCTTTTGTGCATGTCTGTCTCTTCCCTGCCCCTCAACCAGCTGGTCGAGGCAGATGGTCTCCTGTCCTGAGCCTGGTTCTGCTGGAGGTTTCTTCCTGATTAGCAGGGAGTTTTTCCTCTCCACCGTTTGCTCAGGATGGGAGACTGTGATGAAGTGATTCAACACAATCTGCTGCTTTCTTCTTTAGATTGTTCTTTTCATGTACAGTGCCCTGAGACAACGTACGTTGTGATTTGGTGCTGTATAAATAAACTGAACTTGAACTTCATGGTACAATCCAGCCCCTGTAAGTATACATACCTGGCAGGTACCCAGTGTGTAGCCTGTAAGCATCAAGTAAGTCAGTTCATGATACATTCCAGTCCATGTAGGTACTAGGCCATGTAGCATACCCAGTATGTACTCAGCCCAGTAAWTACGAGATACATAAACGTTAGTATGTACTTTGTAAGTACAGAGTAACAATTCACTCATAATGCAGCCATAATGCAGTACATGCCTCGTACTTACCTATAAACAGTACCAGGTAGGTACTAATAAGTTTTTATTGTATTATAATTGTTCTAATATATTTAACGCTGATCAAATTGTCTTTATGACAATAAAATAAAATTACCACATACATGCGGTGGTATAATCTACTGGTCTAACGTTWGTATCTGAAGTATTTTTACATCATTGTACCTGAGTGTAAGGCATGTTGTGTCTGTCTTCAAAACTGACCCGATCCTTCCCCTCCAGCACCAGGTCAATCTCCTGCTGACATCGTTCTGAAGGGGAAAAACATGAAATAAAGTTTTTACTCCAACAAGGTGGTTCCTCCTCAGGAAAGTTTGATMTTTTAACATTMATGGTGGAAAGAYGACGGTCGGAGCAGTTCTGTGTTTATGTGAACATGCAGGTGTACCCTGTACGTGTGGGTAGTTCATCAGGTATAAAAACGCAGTCAGCAGGGTGTTGGAGGTGGTGTCGGTACCAGCAAAGTAAAAGTCCAGAGAGTACATCACCAGAAAATCCTCTGAAAACGAAGAGCTAACGTTGCCTTTCTGAAAGATAAAGAAACRTCTTCATATTTTACTGAAACACTGTAGAAGGTTAAACAACCAAATGTAGCTTTAGATAATTCTTGGTTTTTGTCCCAAACGTGATTTGAAACTTAAATATTTCTGCATAATTTAGGAATCTTTTAGATGTTTATTAGCGGAATCATTAAGTTCATTCACTTTATATAAAGT